AGTCAGAATCACCAATTACATTTTGGTTTGATGGACATTCAAGCACGGGAGGCTCACAATCTTTTGATATATGTATATTTGTCTGTGTGTAGGTAGTGAGTAGATGTATGTATAAGTCAGCTGCTGCCACCCCCACCCCCCCACTCACCTCAAATGTCTATATAAGTCTTCCAAATATCTTACCAATAATGAAAATGTTGAATGTACAGTACCCAGTATTGTCATAGTCATCGGTAGCATTACAAGTGACAGTAGTGTTGAGTTCAAAGAAAGTGTCTCCACTCATGTAATCACATACAGCTGAAAAACTCTCTCCTGAGTTGTCTGTGACATTGGGTTCAGCCCACATTGCAGTTGCCATACAGTCAGAATCACCAATTACATTTTGGTTTGATGGACATTCAAGCACGGGAGGCTCACAATCTTTTTAAAAAAAATTAAAAAAGCTGTGACTTTACAAACTATAATCCTTTTTTTCCCTTGCATCTCATTTATTCAGAAAATGGTTGGCCTTCCGTACACAACATAATCAGTGATGCAAGCAAACAGTGTATGTACTAGCTAACCCAAGTCACAATCAATGTTACCACATAAGCAAATTTTATTTTTTGTGCAATGGGACTTTCAACCTTTAAAATGTACTTCAATTTTATGGTAAAACGTTCTGCAAGCTGGACTTTTATCCTTACTTTTATCCTTACCTGGACTTTTAGCTTACAACTAAAAATGTATTGCTGATACATACAATGAAGAAATTAACGTAGTTATAATTAAATTAAAATTTTTAACAAAAAATATCTTGTTTTGGAAGAAAAAAAAACTGACAGCCTTAGAACTCTTTTTCACATTCTAAAATAAAATTAATCCTTAATAATAAGAATTATTGTAGGAAATAGTGCTTATCTATATAGATTCATCCTTACCAAACTAAACTTGGTTACTTTACTTATAAATAGTTATGAATCAAAACTTTTGTATTAGTTAGCTGGTTGGTTCTTTAATGTGAAACACCCTTAGCATAACCCACAAAAGTGTGCACTAATTACTTTAACATGTATATGGGCCATATTGCACTAAGGGAAAAAGGGTTAAACCGATCTCTTCTAAAATATATTATAATGTATTTTGGCCTTTCAGCTGAAACACAAAAAGAGCAACAGTTACATCGGGAACTAAATGATATGAAAGAATCTTCATTATTTATTGATAATGGCTACAGTTCATCGGCGTAACTCACATTCATCATAAAAATAAAACAGGTATCTAAATTTCATTTTAGTAAATTCGGTATACCTTTAATTTCCACAGTAAATTGACAGTAGCCAGTGACCTCATTACAATCGGTTGCTGCATATCCTACTGTGTATAAACCAAGTGACAGAGGTTCTCCACTGGTGTAGTTAGCAGTTATGTTGACATCACTACAGCAGTTGTCAGTTGCATTGGCTGATACCCAGGTGGCATTTGTTGAATCACTTCCTTGGTCGGCACAAACCTCAACGTCACTTGGACAAGTGATATTTGGTGCAATTTCATCTGTGAGTAAAATTAATAATATATCCCACCAATTGTAATCATTCAAGCTTACATCAACTAACAAAAAACAAATCAGGTACATGATGTATTAAATAACTTACCCGACAGAGTGTAAAAGAATACACATGATGCAAAGTTGTCTGCCATGTCAGTAACCGAACAAGTTATGGTATAGTTTCCAGTGCTATTGAAAGTCATTGGAGTACAGGTAGCACTGAGCAAATTGCCAATATGATCAGTTGCATTGACTTCAAACATAGGATCATCAAAACAACTGTCGTCCATTAACTCGCTATAGTCATCTGGACACACAATTTCTGGCTCATTTAAATCTGCAATGTTAAATTTAGACAAAGTAGTAAGATACAATGAGTCATACCAGCCTACAACAATCAAAATCAATATGATTCGTTCATTTAAAGATAGATTTCAAAATTGTTTTTGTTTCATTATTAAGTTTTATATTTCTACCATAAAGGTGAAGATATAAATTGGTGTTAAAAAATACAATCAAAAAGCCTTTTTTCAATTCGTTTCCTTTTGTAACTTTTTACATCAAACAGTAAGTGTGGAAATGTTTGCATTTTTATAGGGTATTAACACATAGCCCAAAAATTCACAAATCAGCAGTAATGGTAATAGGGTACTAATTTCAGTTATTCCTTTTTAAAGAAAGCTCCATTGCATTTGGCCGCGGTGTGTTCTTATAAGTATACGAATGCCACTAATGGGTTTAAATAACTAATCACCAAATTGCTTTGTGAGTATATCTTAATGTAACATTTGCAGTTTGGTGCATTGTGCAACCCAAGTTGTAAGCAATAGAGGGAGCATTATTGACACAATTCATAGTACACACCTACTACGTTTATGTCAAGTACATGAAACACTTGGGATGTTGAAGAATTTACTTCAGCTTCAAGAGTATCAACTGTGTAGATGGTGCCTTGAGAAAAACGTAACTCAAATCTAGCGATGACAGAGCCATTAGTGAAAGATTTTACTTCACACAAAGTGGAAATGTTGCTCACCTGAAAAAAGAAACAAACATAATATTAGGCCTAAAAACTCCAAATAGGATTCAACACAGTGAAACTCTTGTTGGCAAGAATTCTAGTATATTATTATAGCTTAATACTGCTCTGGAAATAAAATATTTGGCTAACGAAGCGTAGTTCAGCTAAATTTACTTTATTTAGTTAGATCTATTTATTTAATCGAGGTTTACAACTATATTTACTTTAATGATATTACTACTAGGCAGTTTACTTTTCGAATTTATTATTACAAAAATTATATTATATGCAATACATCCTATACTGTTGAATAGCGCCAAACTTATACTATTGCTGTATGTAGTCTCAGCACCAACTCAACCACGTTTTTGTGTGAATTAGGACGTGGTTCGGGTCGAATCAACGTTTTGCAGTGAACACAGTTTTCACGTTCAAACCCTATCAGGGGCGGCCAGCCCGGCTCCGACCCCCCCCCCCTTTTGAGAGGTAAAAAAAAGAAAAGAAAAAAAGAAAGAAAAAACGATAACCCAGAACGCATCAAATGTTATTTTCGGGCGTCTAAAACACAAAATTTCGCGGGGGAAAATCTCTGGATCCGCCCCTGCCTAGGCAGATGCCAAGCCTAAGACTTTGAAACCTCAATTCACACTTCTGTGCCGCATGCCTTCATACTTTTGATTGTAACTAAATTATTACTTCTGCTACTACATATTTATTATTTTGATACTGATTCATGCCTGTTTGTCTACAAGTGATTTTCAAGATATCCTTATGTTCATGTATGCCTGTATATACTTTGAAATGCTAAGTTTAATTGAGCCAATTAATTAATATAAATAATGCGAATAATTAGACTTTAAGTGCTGTTTTTGAGTCACTTTAGTAACCTGAACAGACCCGTAGCGCGACTTAATATGTGAGAGGTTCGTTTCAGTGGGAAATGGACCCTTTGGCTTGTATGATCTCTGATACTCTGGAGAACATGTAACTATATCTACGAATATTAATTTGTCATTTTCAGATGCGGACCCTTCTCCAGTTTTTGGGCTGTTCGTCGTATCCCCCTTAACCCACTCCCCCCCCCCCTCAAAGAGGGCTTTTCTTTAAATAAAATATATGCTTCAAGGTAGTCACCTTCTCAGTTTTTGGGCTGTTCGTCGTATCCCCCTTAACCCCCCCCCCCCCCCCCCCCTCAAAGAGGGCTTTTCTTTAAATAAAATATATGCTTCAAGGTAGTCACCTTCTCAAGAATGTTAGTAGTTCTTTGTCTACTTTCTACCTCCGCCAAAGTTACGTTTCGCCCATGTTTGTTTGTGTGTATGTTTGTCTGTGAACAGCCTACAGTTTTCATAAAAAAACTCGTCAAACTTGGTCCCCGACTTGGTCACAATGTTTCATAACCAATGATCTCGAGATGATTGTATTTTAAAGGGTCAGGGTCAAAAGTCAAGTTTACAATCAACAAAAAACTACCTTTTTATATTACAGCCTATAGCCAACAATTCTTATCATAAATTAGTCA